CTCCAGGACACGGGACACTGAAACATATGTGTCTCATGGAAATACTCCAGGACACGGGACACTGAAACATATGTGTCTCATGGAAATCCTCCAGGACATGGGAGGGAAAGGGGCACAAGTGTGCCACAGCACAGATGAATCTGACAAGCACTGGGTAGAAGGAGCCAAAGCAAAAAGGACACAAAACAATTTCCATTTCATATTCTATATCTCCATTTTCATAAACCACGCAGAATTAGTGTAAGTTGTGGTCAGGACAGTGGTCATTCCTGAGAAATGTGGGGTTCGGGGGTTTTACAAGGGCAGGAGAGGGGCTTATCGAGGCACAGAAATGGTATCTTGGGATCTGGGTGTCAGTTACATACGGCTTGCCTAATTTGTGGAAATGTTCCAAGCTATACATCTAAGATATGCACACTTTTCTGCCTGTGTATATCACTTCAATAAAAAAGGTTTTTAAAAATTCAACGGTGGAGGCATACAATCTGGAAAGCAACCATAAAATTATACTCCTCCTGAAACACACGACATTCCCAATTGCCCTGTCTTTTCTTTTCCACTGAACTCAAACCTTAACATCCTATTGAAAGAGCACATCTTCCTGATATATAAAAATGCGCATGCTATCTAAACAGCCTCGTGCACAGAGGTCTCTGCCAAACGTTTTCTCAAGCGCATCCATGCCATAAATCAGAATTTTTCAGTAGAAATGGTGGCCCCATTCAGGCTGGGCCCCAACGGTCCCTCGCCTTGTTCGGACATCTCACTCTTCTTTGCCCATTTGCTCAGAAAATACTGAAGTTTAAGTAAACATTTTTCCTCCATAATGCCACTCTGACTGGCATCTTCTCAAAAAAAAAATATGATTTTCAATTTATAGTCAAGTCCAACCATTGGTAGCGAATTTGCAGTTTCTACCTCACCTCCTTCAGATGCAGGCCACACCCAGAAAAGCAATTTCACGCCACAGGTCTCCCAAGTTATGTAATGTTGCCCCAACCCACTAATTGTCTGATTTAAACACAAGAATCGGTGTTATTAAAGATCAGAACAGTGGAAACACATTTTTTTAAATGTAAAATAGGGCAATATTCTTCAGCAATCAACTTATTCTCTTCACTGCTGAGTGGATAACACGTGACATGGCCAGTAATGCTATGAGAAAATGCATTAATTAATTTATTAATTATTATCATTTGATTAATGCTACTTGAAGCTTATATTTATTTGTGCATTAAAGATACTCAAAGACAAAACTATAACGCTTTCTGAAGAGAGACAGTGCATGGCCTTCCAGCCGGGAGTACTGGGACGTGGGTGGGCACGTGGGTGGGCACGTGGGTGGGATGTGGGTGACACGTGGGTGGGAACGTGGGTGGCACGTGGGCGGGACGTGGGTGGCACGTGGGTGGGACGTGGGTGGCACGTGGGTGGCACGTGGGTGGCACGTGGGTGGGACAGGTTTACTGGAGCTGCACCAACACCTGCTAGTCAAGCAGGTGCTCACGACCGATGCAGACAAGTGAACGCTCACCAGAGGCTGCTAGGGTCCTGAGTCCCGAGGACGGGACCTGGCCTGCCCGGTGCTTTACATATATCTGCATCATTAAATCCTCATCTGCATCATTAAATCCTCACAGCTCTGTGGCCCATGTTACAGACGAGGTGGTGAGGACCATGAAAGTCAGCCCCTTAGGGTTCATAGTCACAGAAAGGTTCTAACCTGAATCCTCGGGATTCTTTACTCTGGGAGAGAAGCCGGGAGGCAGTCAGGGACACCACGAAACAAACATGCCACCATTGCCATCTCACCTGTCCCCAGGAAACCCCATTTCAAATGGTCAGTAGACAAAGGATTATTCTTACATAAAATCCTCCAGATGCTTCTGCGGGTTCAGGGAGCAAAGATGTCTTCGCTGGCAATTTGAGTTCGTATGTCATTATGCTCCACCTGAAGAGAGAAAATCCTTTGGTCTGAAATTTCTTTAATTTTTTTTTGAGACAGGGATTCTCTGAAGCTTTGGAGCCTGTCCTGTCCTGGAACTAGCTCTTGTAGACCAGGCTGGACTCGAACTCACAGAGATCTGCCTGCCTCTGCCTCCTGAGTGCTGGGATTAAAGGTGTGGACCACCACCGCCTGGCAGAAATTTCTTTAAATCTTAATGAACTATTTTCATTTCATACACACACACACACACACACACACACACACACACACACACACACACATTTGTGGCCTACAGTTTTATTCCATCTTAAACCAAGGATGGGACAGAAATCCTTGATAAAGCTGTGATAATCCCATAAACACTGGATTTATAGTCTATGATTTCCACATTCTACCATTTCTCCAATTAGCAGCATCCAAACATTCCAACACCAGGTCACAGCAGGAAAAGCTGGTCATCCCATGACTTACTGCCCTTTAAAAAAATTATTTCTATTTTGTGTTCATTGATGTTTTGCCTACAAGTATGTGTGCATGGGGGTGTCAGAAGCCCTGGAACTGGAATTACAGACAGTTGTGAGCTGCCATGTGGGTGCAGGGAATGGAACCCAGGTCCTCTGGAAGAGCAGCCGGTGTTCTCAACAAATGAATCATCTCTCCAGCACCAACTTACTGCTCTTGATGCAATGCATTCTAGCTTTTTCCTTTCTCTTCTACTTTCTAAATAAGATTCATTGTAAAGTACTAATTAAATTATGTTATTAATGAGTCAAAACCCAAAGATCTAAAATAATGTCTTAGATTTAAGATATGCGTATTACCTACTGAAATAAACCATTTCAGACTTAGCAACTGCTCCTGGCAAAAGGATATGAGTGAGGGAGTGAGTGTATGTGTGGGGGTGGGGGAGAGAGAGAGAGAGAGAGAGAGATGAAAATGAGGTAAACACTCCTTAATTCAAGAATAAGTAATATAAACATGAGATGGAAGGAAATTAGTTATAGATATAATACTTAATTTTAAAAAACATATTTCAGTTATTAGTAAGTTATTACTAAGTCTCACTAAGTAATAATTCAAAAAATTGAATCATTAGGAAAAGTCATCAATGGGATAATTCCAGATTAATATCTAAAACAATTCTAATTTGGGGAAAATAATAGGGTTAGGACATTATTACAGTCTAACAAGATGAGAGATAAGGATTTTTATAGATACAAAGCATTATAAAAGTAATATTGCAACACATGAATTTTATAAAGAGCATGCACAGCCAATGACGGAAGCTAGAGACAATTCCAAAACTCACGGCTCATACACTAGAAGATCCCAGAGTATGGTTCAGACTAATGAGAATACGTCTTCTCATAAAAACCACAATTTCCAGAAACTTCCCCAATAGACTTGTGTTACTTAGGTTACGTGAACTAAACCGTTACTTGTGGCTACCTTTCAACTCTCGACATGAAGACATAAACAGGGGCTGGAGAGCTGGCTCCAGGACCTCAGCACGTGCTGGGGAAAAGTGTGAAGGCTAGACTTTGGATCCTCAGAGCCTACCTACACGCCGGTGGGAGTGCTGGCCTGCGCATGGCTCCAACCTAAAAAGACAAGAGCTGGCTAGCAAGAGTAGCCATCTCAGCCAGCTCTGGGTTTAAATGGAAGAATTAATGAGGATGATTTCTAGTATCAACCTCAGGACTCCATATGTGCAGGCAAATACACACAAAAAATTACAAATAATATATATATATAGATAGATATAGATATAGATATAGATATATCTCAAAGTAAAGGCAGGTTCTACAAGGGTGAACAGGCTTCCAAATGAAGCTCATGTGTTTGTACAGAAACTAGAAACCGCACAAGCATCGGTTAGCTCCACAAATAAGTACGGGAAAACTGCAATCAGAAACTACAAAGCCGAACTCTTTGAAGCTGAACTACTTCTCTGGTCAAAAGACAAGAAGCAGGAAAGGATTCTGCCCCAAACCACAACCTTCCAAGCTGTGTCTCCCTCCTGGATCGACAGCAAACTCTGAGAAAAGAGGGAGAAGTGGCAGCAAGAGAAGAAAGAGTGGGGCTGAGGTGGGCACCAGCCCTGGCGAGAAGATGCTCCGGGCTTCTCTGGCTCCGGCGCGCTGTGAGGGAGACACTGAACCTGACTGGGAACCTGAGCCAGACTGCTTACTGGCCATGTGACTCTGACCAGGAGCTCATTTGGGACTGCAGAGAAGGCAGCATGAAATGAAATGAGTGCCGCTGAACGCCAGGCGGACGAGCTGGGCTGTTCCTGCTCCCACTGTCTGCAGAAGTCTGTGTCTTTGCACAACAGTCATAATGATGCTTTTGTAAACCACGTCACAGCACAGCTCCAAAGATCAAATAAACATTAATGAAAAGCCTAAATAATGCAGAATATTAAAATAATTTTTTTCATCCCTTTTCTATGGGGCTAGGATCACCTGTTTTACATAAACAATAAAGTCACAAAGAAAACGAAATAATTCTAAGCTCCTCACCTTTGCTCTAGTGGTTTAGGCATGCCAGGGGATATCAAGGACTTTAGCCACAGGGGTGCAATTTGTTGGCTAACCACTTGGGGGAGTAAATTTCTACAGCTTGTTTCCTAGGCCCCATCAGGACTGCCCTTTAAATCTGTCTCATAGAAGAAGCATTAAAATCCTCCGTGCTGCAGCTGGTCTGATGGTTCAGTGAGTAAAGATGCTGGTGCTAAGACAGATGACCTGAATTAGAACCACGAGATCCACACAAGTCAAGGAGAGAACCAATTCTGGAAAGACCTCTACACTCTCAATTGGCAAATGCAGGAACATGCACACAATTAAATATTTTAAAAAAAAAATCTTTAGCAGGTACTCTGAGTTGTTCAGTAAGCAAAGCGTTGGACCATTTATGAATTTCTTTTGGGTGCACTCTCTCTCTCTCTCTCTCTCAATCTGATTTTATTTCATTCAAAACCTTCTTTCCCTTCAGTTTTATTCAGGTTAAAAACTGCCAAATACTATATATTTATGACACACAATTGCTGCTTTGATGTTCACAAATCTCACGAAGTCACCACAACACCTGAACGCCTTAACTGACCATCACCAACCTGTTATTCCTCCTTTCTGCTTCTGTGTGTGTATATATGAAGTGTGAGTGCATGCATGTGCGTGTTCATGGGTGTGATTCAAGCATGCATGTGTCAGAGCCTATGTGTGGTGATCGGGGAACAACTCGGTGCGTTGGTGGGAAACTGGGTCTTCTGTTCGCAGTGGTATATGCCAGGCTGGCTACCCTGGCATCGTCTGAGGGCGCTCCTGTCCTTCTCTGTGACATCATAGGGTGTGCTGGGATCACACGTGTGCCACTTCACTTGGCTTTAAATAGGTTCTGGGGAACCAAAGCGCTTGAGCCACTGAGCCCCTTCCCCAGGCCCCACCCCTTTTCATTTTCCTCCCTTCCTCCCTTCCTCCCTCCCTCCCTCTTCCTTTCCTTCCTTCCTTTGGAATCTTCATACTTTTAAGGATTAGAGATTCTGAATTGAGCCCCAGCCCAGATTATAAATCATCATGGCTCAACTAACTGAACATCACCTTCACGTGATTTTGGGTAAATGTAGGCTAAGGTTCTACAACCCAGCTCTATTTTCTAAGATGCTGTCAGCAATGGACTCCAGCATTGCAGCACCGGCAAGCATCACACGGTCCGACAGACAAGGTTGCTGTGCTGAGGTTCTTGCTCATCCTGGGATAACTGCATCTTTTTGACTGGTGACTCCCTGATGCGATTTTGGTTTCAGGAGGAGTTCCACAGATGGCTAATCCTATCAAAGTTGCTCTGATTCATGTGAGCTCAAGTCTGTAATGATATTTTCGTATTTGTCTTGAGCTCTTGGGGGTGGGGTAATTACGGCTGACTGCGTCTTCTTGTTCCCTAAACCCAAATTCTAAACGCCTTCACCACAGAACCCAGGCGACAAACACTGTGATTTCTGTTTTAAACATGACTGCTCAGCGTGGGGGAGGGGGAGGACAAGAGGGGAGGGGACGGGGTCAAGGACAACGTAAATACAGTGACAAGTCCTTCATCTTCACCTGTTCCAAATCCCCCCCTCCTCCCTTTGCTCAACCCTGCTCCCTCCCAGGGCAAGACCTGTATCCCCAGCCTGGGCAGGATTCTTTTTATCTTTTCAGTAGCCCATTATTGGATGAATTAACTCCAGAGGAGACCCTAGAGAAAAGCTGAAGGTGACAAGGCTTTGCTTAGGTTCTCAAACCACAAGATGGTGGGCCTTACTATTTCATTCACCAGAAGCTCTGGCTGCAAACATTTGAGCTTTCTGACTTGAACACTGATTAAAAGTGACTGGCATCCCGGGGCATGGTGGTACACTTCTAAAATCCTGGCACTCCGGGACGAGGAGACAGGAGATATCAATTTGAGGTCAGGCTGAGCTACGGAGTGAGATCCTATCCTCAAACCACAACAAAACAAAAATTAGTAACTCCATAATACTTACATTTAAAATAATAAATTCACCAGAACCATTTTTTAGGGGTGTTTTGGAGGGGGCATTCATTCAAAAGCATCTTTTATTGAGTGTCTACTTTGTACAGGTTTGATTTAGGATCTCAGTGATCAAGGAACAAGACCTGGAAATTTGGACTTTCAGACTTAAGAGTTAGTGAAATTGAAAGTATACCTGTCCAGCATTTTGGTGCTAGCTCTTTCCAGCTTCTCTAGGATCTGAGGAAGTTGGGTGTCATCATCATAGGAGCCACCCCAGCCAAGGACGCGAGCGAGGTCATTGCCTGTACCCAAAGGCAAGACCCCAAGCTGGCACTGCAAAAGAATGCAACCACGACACTGTGAGAGAACTTAGGAAACAAGGACCCGGGGTTCAAGGCCAGCTTAAGCTACACAGCAAGACCCCACCCCCACCGTCTCAGGCACCCCAGAGAACACTTGCCTGTTTGTTCAAGTTCAGTTTATCGATCTCTGACAAAACCCAGCCTACACTTCCATCTCCTCCACAGACAAGAATCCGGAAGTTGTCAAACTTCTGAAATAACCTTAAGCTGAAAGTGAAATGTCTGTTTTTAGTGTAAGTACATAAAAACCTTTTCTCCAACGACTGCCCACATTACACTCTCTATTATCCACATTTATTTAAATATAAGAAATATATATATAACAGCAAACTTGAGTGCAATAGTTAACTCAAGAAATGAATTTAAAAAGAGAATTATAAGCAGAAACAGAGATAAATTAGGAGGGGAAAGAAAAAAAAAACAAAAAAGCAAAAGTGAAGCAGAACCAGGAAAAGGAATGAAGGCAAAGTGACAGGGAAGTGGCATTTCAGGTCACATCGTTCCCTGAGGAATTGCAAACAAGGGAGGGGCATCTCAGGGCTGTGGGGGACACTGAGGCCGTAACTAAAGATACCTGTAGCCCTCACCAATGCAGGCTCCCAGCATCCTCCGCTCTGCTGGTCTCAGCCCTTCCTTTCATTTGTATCCCCCTTCCTGTCTCTTTGTCCCTTAGAAACCCTCAGGTCCTGTGCAACAGTCTCACAAGGAGAGAAGCTCAGAGGTTCAGAGGATGATGAAAAGTCGCTTCATGAGAAAACACAGTATCACCTCCACAGAAAATTTTATGTTGAAAGGGGGTGACATATCCCAAGGCATATTCCCTCCAACGGAAATGCCACATAGTTTGTATTCATTTTTGGACGTTAAGTTATACAACACCACAGAAAACTCAAGGACAATCAATTAAAGCCCCTCACCATGGATCCCGAGATCCTTCAGGTACTTCCCTGAGGTGCCAGACAGCCCGCTTTGGTTACGTCACTGTGAGTATTGGTATGAATCAATACGAGTTTCCATGAAGGGTCTTCTCTGATATCAGCTTCCACCTTACATCTACCCAAGTTTACCTGTCCTAAAGCCATGCATTTGTCTGATGCAAGATACACGCTTGCAATATTCTTATACACATTTTAGCATTTGGAAGTTTTGATAACAAATTTGGAAACAGACAGAAGGAAGTTTAGTAACATCAGAACGGTTGTGTTAAATATGATTTAGGGAACACATCCTTAATCCCAGAGCCTAGGAGGGAGAGACAGGTCATTCCCTGTGAGGCCAGTCTAGTCTACATACAGGTCCAGGTCAGCCCGGGCCTCTTAGTTCTGTCTCAAAAACAACAAAAACAAACAAACAAAAAAATCCACAAAAACAAATAATTAGAACTTTAAGCTAGAGACGTCTCTTTATGATGAGGACTTGCCGAGGATGTCTACATCTATAGGTTCAAAGCTGTGCACCAGGCAAAAAGAACACCACAAAAACAAAACTTGACAAAGCTCATTGAAGGAAGGAGTGAGGGTAACAGAGAGATGGCCAGGGAAAATTGCAATTTCCTGGGGTTTTTATTTGTTTGTTTTGTTTTGAGACAGGGTTTCTCTGTGTAGCCCTGGCTGTCCTGAAACTCTCTCTGTAAGCCAGGCTTGCCTCTAACTCACAGAGATCCGCCTGCCTCTGCCTCCCGAGTGTTGGGATTAAAGGTGTGAGCCACCACCGCCAGGTTTGAAAAGAGAAATTTTCATGGGGAGAAGGATCAGAGGCATCTCATGCTCAGACCATATTTTACCCAAGTAAGATTTATCATTAGTGAATTACCCTAAGTGAGGCCCTCCGTTCATTAAGTCAAACACCTGAGCAGGGTTGAGCAGCTGCTTAAAGCGGCGAAGGAACTTTACCCCCTGGTTGTCTCCGCTCTTAGAGTTGACGAACACCAAGAGAGGGCTGACACAGAACGAAAAGGTCGCTCGACAGAAACCTGAAAAATGAACCCAGGACACGATTAGCATGTACATTTCCCCCTCTTAAATTATTAACAGACATTTAGAAAAAGGAAGAGAAAAGGGCAAAAATAAGGAACCTTCCTGATTGCCGGCATATCATTATAATCTAATCCCCCAAGGGAGCTAAGGTTACTATTTGCATCCAACAATGTAAAACTCGCATTTTAGAATATGCTCTGTAGTGGGAAAAAAAATCACATCAAAGACAATAAATACCTTAATCACAAAGTATTTGAAATAGACCACCAACCTTACTAATTATTTGTAAGAAAAACAAATCTAGGCTATGGGTTTCCATCTGTTGTCAAATAAACCATGTTCCTGCTTGGTACTTTCTAATATTCCAACTGTTCTTGGCGGAGGCCTGAGAAAACACTTTCAAACTTATAATAAACAAAAGATATATCCAGGGTGGGAGGATTATCAAGAGGCCAACCTCTAAGCTTTACCTCCACACACACAAATGTATCAAAAGTCTGTGCATGAAGCAGAGGCGGAAACAACACACCGCAGAAGCAGCTTGCAGAGAAGGAAGTAATGAACGCTCTAGCCCAGAGCTAGTGATGTTAGGATGTCTCCTCGGCACTGACGGTTAAGCCTTGTCGGACTCTGGACAAAGCAGCGCATTCAGAGGACTACAAAGTCCTTTAGGGAAATTATAGGAGAGCCAATGTTAATAGTAGACCATGCTAACGGGCAGCTTCAATTACAATGAGAGAACACACGCAGATTAATATTGTAGTATTAATAAGTAATCTTCCTTCATCCATTGGGATGCAAAAACAAAAATCTCAAAGTCCTATGTGTGGTGATCTGGCTAAAGTGGCTGCATTACAACTTTCATTTCAAAATATTCGTCTGGGCCGGGGACGGAGCTAAGTGGCTGGACACATGCCTAGCTCTTCAAGAACCCGGTTTCATACCCAGCATCACAAAAATTAATTAATTAGTTAAACAATCAAATATACCTTCCTGCATTTCTAAAAACTGACCAGAATAGCAAATGACAGTTTATCTATCATAGGAAATGAAGTCAACACTATTATGCCAGAAATACACGTACTTACACCACTGCTACGTACCATCAGAATCTGTGCTGTTTAGTGCAATCGGAGGGATGACAGACACTTTACACTGGCCAAGGGGACAGACGGGATGGTACAAATCTTTGCAGGCGGTGTGGACCTAACAACCAACAAAGAAACCTTCAAGAATCAAAAATGACAGTAAACCAATGCATTTCTGTTAAGTTACAAATTAGATCCACAGCCCCGCTCATTCCGGATCAATACGGTCACAAAAGGTTCAGTGATTAGTAAGCCACTATCGGCACATGCCCTTCTGAGGGACGGGCTAGCACCGTACACGTGAGACTGTCTGAGCAGTCTACTCCTGGGGCTGCCTAAAAAGCAGTATGTATTCCATGAATGCCTGGTGAAAGGAAGAAGGAAGAGCTAAGAGGGGGGGGGTAATAGGAGGGAGGGAAAGAGAGAGTAGGGGAGGAGGGAGAGAGGGGAGGGAGAAGGAGGCTATCTCAATATCATGTCCATAAATTTTAATAAAAAGAAGTAAAACCTGCAACGTGCCAGCTCCTTCTGCACTGGCCCTACATCTCCCAGACAAACTTATCTCAGTTTATGTATTTGCATGTGGTGTTACAACACAGCCCTAGCTATTTCCTCAGCTAGACACTGCCCTGCAAGGCAGAGGAGAGGAGCAGAAGACTTGGGCCCACCCTGGACATTCCAAGTGAGAAAACAAAGGGCTAATTCACCATGGAGGAGCCTGGCTACCCAGAGTGTTCTGTGTTAACTGAGCCCAACCTTGGACTTTGTGTTAACTAAGCCCATCCTTTCAGGAGGGTAACTAAAATTTAACAGAGGCTTTTGTTCTGCTGATGACTTGTTTGGGGACAATTCTCAATCATGACACAGAGATGACACAAATGTATTTTAGAAAAATTAAGTGTGCACAGACAGGGGTTTTTGTTTGTTTGTTTGTTTGTTTGTTTCAAAACAGGGTTTCTCTGCATAGCCCTGGCTGTCCTCGAACTCACTCTGTACACCAGGCTGGCCTCGGGCTCAGAGATCCACCTGCCTCTGCCTCCCAAGCGCTGGGATTAAAGGTGTGCACCACCACAGCCTGGCCAGAGAGTTTTAAGATGAAGAGTGTAGGAGAATCACGGAAGAACATGGAAAGAGACCCGTCACAGCGCTGCCTGAGAAGAGCAGGGCTGAGGTGCACAGGCGCAGTCTTTAAACTCCTTGGAGCACCAGGGTGGTAGGACTTCAGGCTTTGGGGGGGTTCTCGGTTTATTTTTTTCTTTTCTTTTCTTTTTGGCCCTTCTCAACTAGATGACAATGAGTAGGAAACGCTGGGTTTCCCCCAGTACAATATCATCATCTAAAGGCAAAACAGCAAGCATGCCAATAAATGGTAGTGTAGGAAGCTGAGAAGTTGTGGGATATTAGTTTAAGATGTGTTACAATGGTTTATGATGTAGAATATTTGTTTGACGATGCAAAGATGTGCTGCCTTCTTTTATGTTATATTTGTTTAACTCTGCGGAGCTGTGATACTTTGTCTGTCTGAAACACCTGATGGTCTAATGAAGAACTAAACGGCCAATAGCAAGCCAGGAGGAAGGAAAGGAGGAGCTGGCAGGCAGAGAGGATAAACAGGAGAACTCTGGGAAGAAAAGATGAGAAAGACCAGGAGACAGTCACCCAGCAAACCAAGGAGTAAGAAGGAAAGAAAAGATATAGAGAAACAAAAAAAGGTAAAAGCCCAGAGGCAAAACATAAACAGAATAATTTAAGAAAAGCTGGTTAGAAATATGCCAAGACAATGCCAGGCATTTATAAGGAAGAATGAGTCTCCATGTATTTATCTGGGAGCTGAGTGGTGGGCCCCCCAAAAGAGCAAAGGAGTAAAGAGAAAAAGAAAAGAAAACAGCAACAACACTGAGACCAAACGAGCTGTCACAAGGGAATGGTAACCGAGACTAGTATGTGTAACTAATACAGGATGGGGCAGGAAGAATTAGGGTGAGAGTTAAGTTTGCCAGGGAATAAAAAGGGGAGAAAGGCATTCCAGAATGCCGCCACGCACCCGCTGTAACAGCAATGCCATTCTACAGGGCTTCTTTAAGTGCAGAATGTCCTCTTAAGTACAGTCTCATTAGCTCAGACTGCGGTACTGCTGAAATTACTGAGTAAAAGGACACATGTACACTGCGGATAAAGACAGCGTGTACAAAGCCTCTCAATATTTCATTTCACAGAGATGATGCGCTCTTCTCTCCAAACGTTAGAAGTGAACAGCTAACCCTCCCCCCACCACCAGGAGAGAAGCAGCAATAAATACATGGCCGGTAGAGAGAGTGGGAAATAATTGAACACAAGCAACTACTATAAATGAACCATTTAAAAAAGGCCAGGGCAGAAATGAAAAATACCCCCCGCCACACACACACACACACACACACACACACACACACACACACACGCACGCACATTAGAGGGAATACAGTTTAAAAACATAAACAGGTACCATTATGTCACAGAGGGGTGTGTGCACAACCAGGGTCTGCTCTGCCAGCAATTCTTTGCTTTACCTCTGGACCACACGGAAGACCAAGTTAGGGAAAGATGCTCACTTAAAAGCACAGAATAATGCTGCACCCTTACCATCGTCTTACACCAAAGGCATTTCCAATCTTGCAGGCGGAGGACGCTGCCGCAGGTTTTGTCACAGACTGCACACTTGGCACTCACAGGCAAGTTACCTTCAAGCCATTGATGAGGCATGGCGACCTACGGACAGGAAGAAAGGGTGGTCGGAAGGAAGTCTGAGGATGCCATCCTCACGCTGTAGAAGATGGAACTCAATCCTGCGTGTGCTGAGAGTCCTTCATTCATCTGACCCGCATCTGTGGACCTCCTAGCAAGCCTGAGTTCTAAAGGTACACAACGGGAAGACAAAGGCTCACCCTTTGAGATGCAGTAGAAATCTAGCTGAGGGGAAGGGCATTCAAAGGCTTAGGAGACAGCGATCTCTATAGGGTTCGCAGGCAAGATACAATGGAGTCCAGCTCAGAAGAGGGGACTGTTGAGAGAAAGCCCAGAACCTGCCAAACGAACATCTCAGCTAAGCCTTGTGGGCCGTTGAGTCAGACAAAGGTCTTTAACGGCAGCCCAGGCGAGAAGAGCTCCCCAGTCTTACTCAGAAGGAATTCCCCTACAGAGAACTGGGGAACGCTCTGAAGCAATCAATCAAAAGTCAAAACTCATAATCAACTAACACTCACGACCTAACCCAGGGAGTCCACATTCCCACTTAACTCTCTGTCATTATGGTCCGCAAGAGCAGGGCTTGAGAGGCTGGGGAGGGGGCAGGGAGTCACAGCGCTTACACCGTCCTCGTCCTCGATGATGTCCTTCCCGATGGAGGCCAGTGTGGTCCATTTGCAGTTATTGGTTGCCCTCACCGCACACCTTTTGTGAGCCTTGAACTTACACACTGCAAAAAAAGCAAACAAACACACAACAACAACAAAAAAAACATAAAACGTCAGCGGTTGTCAAGGGAAGAAGATTACAGGATGAAATTTTTAAAGGGGTGGGGGGTGAGGCAAAAGGAGGCAGGAGGGAAGCGAGTTTCAAGAAAAGGTTCCGGCTCCAGGAGCAGTAACTGAAATCTTAAAATTTGATGTCTTTGTATTTATGAAGCCGTTAAAATGTAATATAATAGATTGTCGCTAAGAAGAGAAATTAAATAAACACGGAGACCTGGCTCTTCAGAAGAGACAAACAAAGACCTGCACGCACACTCCAAATAACACGGTCCCCAGAGTGCTTGGAAACCATCACCTCCCAGCCTAGGTGTGGACTGCCCTGTTTGGACGTGTTTGAGGAAATTCATGGAGGTGTATATATTTCTGACCTTTGCGTTGTTGTTTATTTATACGAGCAGTTGAAGCTGTCATAAGGTAAAGACAAACCAGAAGTGGTTTTTAAAGTTCAAGCACATTAAGAAAGCAGGCAGGCAGCTGGGGAATCCGTCACCAAGATGGTAGAGCAGTAAACTGGAGCGGGGGCCTGCGGCGTGCGCCTTTGATCCCTGCACTCGGGAGCTAGAGGCAGGTGGATGGCAGATGGGGCACGGCCAGTCTGGAATATCGTGAGTCCCACGCAAGGACATAGAAGACGGTAAAAATTAGAACATTCCTTCCTTACTTCAAAACCTTGCCGTTAAAAATGGAGCAGTTCATTTAAAATAAAAAGCACACTTTATAATAAAGTAGGTCTTGAGACTCACAGCCTGTGTAACAAGTAATGGTGAGCCAGACTGTTGCTATGGTCACCAAGAAATGCAAGTGACTCTTCTGCACCTATACGTTGATAGGTGGCAACTGAATTTCTTCAGAGAGGGCTGGAAAACAGCACATTCCCTGGCCAATAATGTCACTCACTATCTCAAACCACAAAACTCCACAAGTACTGTGGTAAAATAATGACTTTTATTCCAATATTTAGTCTTTACCATGCTGGGTCCTCCTAAATATTAAACAATAGTTAAGACAAGTATCCATATTTATATATTTGATATTATTGATTTCTTAAAATTGCCATTTAAACTTGCTTTGTTCAGATACTATTTAAATAATTGTGAAGGGTAATTTCTCCCTGGGAGTATACTAAACATCCTCAATTAAATTAGGAAATTATGAAAAGTAGTATGTTAATTTTTTATAGTGCGTCTCTGCCTCTCTGACCTCTGCTTGCATGTCTTAAACCCAATCACAGCCTGAACAGGCAGGAGAGGAAGAGGGTGCAATGGCAGAGCTCCACCCCAAGTGCATGTAGACTGAGGTAAACAGCTGATACAATCGCAGATCTTATTTGAAATCCATTAAGAGTGAGATTCTACCACTGCTTTAATCTAAATCCTAATTACACACGCTCAAAATTACTTAAGATGTGATTGCATTTCAAAAATAACTGATATCCATTCTATTTATGATTCAAAAACAGTACCCAACATTCTCAATTCTTCACACTGAAGAGGCATGAGCATTCTCTTGGTAGCCATTGACAGATCTGCCTTTGGTTCTCACAGTTCCTAAATTAAGTAATAACACACGCATCTTATAATTAAAATTATAGCATTAAAAAAGGAATTAAAGTGATATGGGATTTCCCTCTGTATGCTGTGATTACCATTGATTAATAAAGAAACTGGTTTGGACCTATAGCAAGGCGGAACTTAGCTAGGCGGGAAAACTAAACTGAGTGCTGGGAGGAAGGAGGCAGAGTCAGAGAGAAGCCATGTAGCCCTGCCAAGAGACAGATGCCAGAACTTTACCAGGTAAGCCACAGTCTCATGGTGATACACACATTAATAAAATGGGTTAAATTAATATGTAAGAGCTAGCCAATAAGAAGCTAGAGCTAATGGGCCAAGCAGTGATTTAATTAATACAGTATCTGCGTGGTTATTTCGGTTCTGGGCAGACGGATGAACAAGTGATCTCCTTCAACATGAAAGAGAGAAAACACCATCATGGGTCTTAACTTTAGACAACGTTAAAGAAGTCCTGAACCATGGCACGAGGATGAGATAATGCACGGTGTTTGCCTAATGTACACGAGGCTCTGGGTTCAGGTCCCAGTGTTGTGCAAAATGGAAAAGGAAACAGCAGTAGGATATTCAATTAAATGAAGCATAAGTAAAGGAAAATATTTCAAATAATGCAATATCAATAACCATTAGGGATTCTGTCAAAGAGTACACACTGGTCTCCATAGTCAATTAAAACAAAGAATATTTGAATGCTTGCTACCAAGCTCAAGGGATCTTTAGACAGCAGAAACTCCTTCAAGAGACCACTGAATTTTGATGTATGCTTCCTTTCAAATGGTTTCTGTTTAACAACAGCATTTCCCCCAAATCAGTCCTATGTGTGTAGAGCCCAACCCTGAACTAGAACAAAACTTAAATCTGGACTTAACCCCATCTCCCAGGCCTTGCCCCCACCAAGGAAGGTGTTTTTCTTCAGGGTGTCTGTCTGCTTCTTTCATGATGGTGCAGTACCCAGGACAAGGTGTCTACAGCACTTGGGTTTTGTTGGTGGAGCACAAAAGCAGACGGCTACAGTACCTTCGCAGGACAGGCCGTGGGAGGTCACTCCGGAGAGGCTCTCCCTGCACACGTTGCAGAAGGTGGGCCGGGCATGGGAGCAGGCATACCAGTTATGCATCCCTGAGAAATGTTCCACATTAAACTGGGCCACCTGCAAAGGCAAAGTTAGGACAGGGTTGCCAAAACAGGAGACCACGGGGCCACTCGTGACTCTCTGCAACGTTCGTGCCACGGGGCGGACCAAACTTTCAGCCCATTACTCTGAACAGCAAGGCACTTGACATGAAAACATGATCCACTTTACACCGTTCTGAGAAGGCTGCCAACGCTTCCCTCTGCACGGGCTAGCCTGGCACGGGCTTGCTCTGGCTCCATGGCTGCTCTTCTATAAGCCTGTGCTCTGAGGACAGGAAACAAGTGGATAGTATTTACCTCATACGGTTCTCGGCTCTGCACTGACTTCAGAGAGCTGATCCAGTCTTCCATTTCCTTCCTGTTCTCAGCACATAGCATCAACCTTCTGAAGGGAGTGATTATCTGAAAGGGACAATTCGATCTAGTAATTATTAGTAACCAACAAGAACCAACAAGAGGGGCTTTACAAAGCCTGGCCTCTATGAGGCAGTTACATCTCTTCTGGGTCTTTGTTTCCTTGATGAAGAAGGAGAGGAGCTTTGTTCTGTGTGATACAGTGTGTTCCAGGGAAGAAAGGTACTCAGGATTCTTAGCTCATCTCTGACTCTGTTGATACTAATGAGGCTTCTTAGCTCTTTCTAAAGACCATTCGCACAAATAAACAAACATTCTTACTACATGGAATGCATCTTCAAAGCTTGTTTTAAACACACCTCGAAGTAATTTGAAATGACACGTAACTTTCAATATGGAAAAGAGTTTTAAATTAAAAATGCAGTATTAAAATTCCTAACTGACATATTTCTACTAGCTGTGTGAATAAAATTTGTATGAAGGCTTTCCCTTCGTACTGTGCAGAAATTTACTGTATTACTTTTTAGTCAGAGCCAAGTGGAAAACCGCATAAAAATCCTGGAGGAAAGAAAATAATTGTGACTTGCACTTTTTTTTCATGACACTGAAAAAAGCAAATTAATTGTATTAAGAACCTTAAAGAAAGTGGAATGGAAAATTACAGCTGTTTTAGTACCAAAGGTACTCCCAAGAAAACCTCTAACTGACTTCGGCTTACTAATACAGTATATCGTACATGCTGCCCTGAAGTCACTGAAGCCTAAACACTCACTGCAAGGAAGGGACCATTTATGTACTTGTAGTACAACAGTGTAACACTGCATTCCTCCCAAGAAATTAATTTCAAATAATATATTAGAGACTTATTTACACAACAAATAGAAAAGTTACCCAAGCCCAATCTCCTGATCAAAACTAATAAAATAAATATTTTATTATATACACAGCAGATATCATGAGTGATCATGAAAGAATAATCATCTACAAGAAAAAAGAAAGGGGACCATCCCCTAAAGAGGGAACTAGGGTGCTTAACACCGCGGATCTAAGCAAGGAAGCGTCCAGGGTAAGCCACAGAGAAAGGAGCCCCTCTGAGCCACTCACCGGTCATTGCCGCCTCGCTTGTTAACAGAGGACACAGTCTTCCAGAAGCCCAGAAGCTTTTACTACTTCTGACAGGCAGTTGCACTTAAATAGAGCCAGCCAGCCGTCACATGGCACGGGGGCACCAACCGCTCTGCTCTGCGTCTTTGTTAATTGCACATGAAATCGAAGAGAGCCTCACTTTCGCATTTTCTTGTTTGAAACGACCTTCTTGGGGTAAAGCTTACCAGCAGTTGGTCACTTCTCTTCCTGAATAAATAGTTAATGCAAAGAGCAGTGCCTCTCTCACCACTTGGAAGCCAAATGGATGCTTTATTGCTTCAAAATGTTTTTCTAGGGCAGTTCATCAAATGTGGCAGAGAGGTACCATTAAATCATAATATACTCCTGGCTCTGAAGGCTGGTACAGCGTCCAGAAACCTCCACGTTTCGCTGGCTCACTAACGTTATCAAGGTAAGTATTGCCTCTATCACTTACTTGACTTTAGCTCTACGATAGGATGTAAATATGAGGGTTCCTTTCAAGTGTCGTTTCATTCTTTGATTTTGTTCTTTGTGACATTCTAGGCAACGCATGGTGACTGACAGCCAAAACTAAAGACGCTTTTAAAGCCATCATGAATTTCAAAGGCAGGGGAACACGGATTTAGGAACTAGACAGCCGCTTCAATCCCAAGTGATTCCAGCAAGACTGCATAACTCAGTCAAGGGCAAACCTTACATGCTAACGGAGAGCATGTATTCACGAGCTCCACTTTTGAATTGAGACTTGCTTCAAGATGAGCAATAGTGAGCAAGCAAAAGATCATCATACACAAAAATTCAGACCAAAACTTAAGTTCTCTGAGGGCAAGAAGACAGTAGAGTGATTTTGACAGGCAGGCCTTGTGACTAATCACAATTAAGAATCTACTAATTATAAAACCACACTCTCAGAAGTCGGTGAAAAGGCAATCAGTCCTTTATAAACAACATGGAGCGGAGATGGCTAGCCTTGTGGCTCTAGTGCCAAAGAGCCCAGCTGTCTGGGCTAAATCAAGCTCAGCTCAGCAAGCAAAGCTGCAGCCTCCAAGCCGACCTCTTCCCTCAGCCAGCTTCCACGCGTTTGGGCTGCTCCCACTGCCAGTGCGGGAAGAAGCCCCGAGCCACAAGGCTGACACGGTTCCGGTTATCCTCCAGCTGAACGCCGCCACTCCAACCCCGCTTCTCACCAAATTTTATAAGGGAGATGCAGGAAGGGCAAATTTAGAAAATTATTTGCTTCTTAGCTGCAAGTTTATCTGACTCCAACTCTATTATGACCACAGGCGGCCCTGGCCTAATGGGAAGCTAGAACTCCTCTCACATAAGGAGCAGGGAAGGGGAAGGCTTTCTTCCTACATCTGTTGGGGCAAATCCAGGAAGTTTCTGGAATTAGCAGCATGCTACCTTCCTCCAAGGATCTGAAGGACTCCCTACCCCCATCTGTAACTCTCTCTTCCTGTTACTCCAGTATACAGCATCATTGCTTTCACACCCATCTGAACTAGTGTCCAGAGAACGATGGCAGTCCCTGACACTCTGGGGCACACACGTGTGTTTACCAGTCATTTGTTAAGTATGTATAGAAAGCCAGAGCCAGGGGAACACTGCAGGATTGGTCAAGAGTCTGTAAAGGAGAAGAAGAAGCCACGGATTCACTCATCTGGAAAAATGCTATGGTTTCCTAAACAGTACCTAGTAAAGTAGAAAACTCCCCATTACTAGAACGGTTAACAGTGGGAGTTACTGGCAAAACGATCAATCCAACCACACTATCGTTCACTTCTAAGACTCAAGACTCTCCCAGTCTGGCCGGCTAAGGAGACTCTCTCTCTTGCAATCCCAGAAACGGGGGTGGCTGAGACAAAAAACTGCTTGAGGCTTTCCTGGACAAGACAGTAAGTTCCTGCCAGACTCGGCTACACAGGGAGACCCTGTTTCAAACCCCACCCCAAAATAATTCAGTCTAATAAAGCATTAAATATAAAATCCTGTGGAACTGGGCACCACAGTTAGACTGTATTTATGTTAATGCTCACAAGCAAAAACACAAAAACAAAACCCAGATACACAGCCAAATACTATCAAGAGACCACAGCCCAATTTAATTCTTTTTGTTCATTTAACTGCAGTTTTTAAGCAAATATGCCATGCTTCTGTAATAACCGGTTTTTTGTTTGTTTTGTTGTTTTACAGACAGAAAGATGGGAGGCTTAGGATATAAAGATGTGCAGGAAGATTTGGGTAAGGAAAGGGAAGGAGGAGAGGGCCAGGGGGAGGGAAACTTACTGTCTGACATGCTTCCTAGACAGCTTAGCTGGAGTTATCCTCCATGAAGGATAAAGCCCAGTGTCAGAAGGGGATACCTGCCCTCCAGGTGCTGGTCATCAGTATTCCAAAGACCACCCCCCGCCACACACACACACACACACACACACACACTAGAGGTTACTATCATTGTTCTTGGTTGTCCATCAGAACTCCATGTTAAGAGCCTATGACTGAAGACACACCATACACTTTTGTCTCAGAGCATGGAGAATTCGAGTTGGTTCTGATCAGAAGTCATCCTCCCTGTTGACTTGCTTTCCCAGGACTGGGAAGAAAGTACCTGGGATGGGAGCGGGTGCAGGGGGTTTACCCAGCTGTGAACTAAACTCATGACTGGTGGGGTAAGATGTATCCACAGGCAGCACAAATGTGACAGAAGTAACCATCTGTTTTCTGACTGGACTTGAAGCTCATTCCACAGGAGGAGATGCCTGCCGGGACTGTATTCCTGGCCAAGAATCCATGGCTGGAGAGTTCAGAGCCCCCCGGGGAAACCTACTACAGTTATTCTGCTAAGTGGACACAATGTCAGCCTCTCCTCCAAAGTCACATCTATAAAACCATACATTAGTGCAGACCTCAGACCTCATCCCAGAAGTTTCCTCTTAGCAACAGACAGTGGTGAATGCAGAAACCCACAACAGATCAAAGAATAAACGTCTGTGGGATGCTCAGCGACAAACGGAGTTATCTCTGTCACGCCCACTGCCCATTACAGCCCACAGAGACCCCTGCACACAAGGCTTGGGGAAAACAGAGAAAGAGGGGACAGAAAGGCTGTAAAAGCCAGTTGTTGGAGAGACTGGGGCAAAGAAGTTCTTCAGATCCATTATAACTAGGCCCCCCGTGCGCGCACAGTGGCTGTGGTTCCCTGCGTGAGATCAAGGCAGTGAACAGTATAGTGTGGTGCCAAGAGGGCTTGTGAATTCCCATGCCTAACTAAGGAACATGTGCGGAAGGGAGAGTCAGTTTTCTTCAAGTGTGTGACCCCCAATAGGTCAACCACATTGCAGCAGATGACTTGACACCCATGAGTAAATGAACATCACAAACTGGACTCAGTGGGAGGAGGAGGAGATGATAAAGTTGGTGGGTATGGAGAGGTGGGAAGTGTATCAGGGAGAAATTGGGGAGAAAAGTGAGACATAAATTTGATAAAAATAAACTGTATGAAATTTTTAAAAAACAAAATTATTATATGTCTTAAAAAGAATATTAAAATATATGGTGGGCCTATGTAGCATCCCTAAGGAGTAAACTACTTAGCTGTTATCTATCTCAGAATCACCTGGTTTGTTTGCTTTCAAATCCCAATACATAAGCTATTTGTGGTGATATTTTGTTTGTGATCTAACAAATAAAATTTGCCTGAAGATCAGAATGCGGAGCTAACCACACTAGTTAGCCACAGAGACCAAGCAGCGGTGGCACACACCTTTAATCCCAGGAGGGAGGCAGAGGCAGATGTGAGTTCAAGGTCATCCTGGGCTACAGGAGATTGAATCAGTCTAAAAGTGGTGGCTCACACTTTTACCCCAGCACTAGAGAGACGGGAACTGATATGGTTGGGCGGAGAGAGGAATATAAGGCAG